TTTCATTCATTCACGATTGATCAGCTTCGATAAAGCATTCTACGTCTAATAATTAATTGCCCTATTGACATCGTATTGTCGTTCGTATGAACAATTAGAATTAACATTAACGTTTGTTCATGTGAATAATAGAATATTACCATTCGTTTGCTTGCTTGCAGAGGGACGACACGAGCCTGCTCGCTCAGTTTTTCTACGCGGACGAGGCTCTGAACGCGGTCGCCTGCGAGTTGGACTCGTTCGACGGCCGCCAAGAGCCGGAACGATGCACCACCCTGGTGAATCAGCTGCGCCACTGTCAGGACAAGGTGTTGACGATATGCAGCCAGATAATGGACGAGCTTATACCAGAGAGCAGGGCGAACCGGGACTTCAGGGTGAAGTTCCCTGACGACGTGATGCAGGAGAATCTGGCGGGGCAGCTGTGGTTCGGCGCCGAGTGCCTCGCGGCTGGATCCTCGATCATGAACAGGGAAGCTGAGAGTTCGGCCATGAGGCCGCTGGCCAGGGCATTGACCAAGTCGTTGGACATCGTTAGGAATTTGCTCAGAGAACACGCGCTGAAAGGCCACCTCAATCTGAAGGTATCTATCGCACGTGCTCATGATCACCTGGTTCTTATATCTATTATACTTTGATTGATAGATATGAAATCTTTGAATTTTAAGGGACGTTGCGAAGAGAGAGCCTTAGGTTTCGCGAGTACTTTATACTTTGGTTCATAGATATGAAATCTTTGAATTTTAAGGGACGTTGCGAAGGGAGAGCCTGAGGTTTCGCGAATACTTATATACTTTGATTGATAGATATGATATCTTTGAATTTTATTGCACGTTGCGAAGGGAGAGCCTGAGGTTTCGCGAGTACTTTTATACTTTCATTGATAGATATGAAATCTTTGAATTTTACTGCACGTTACGAAGGGAGAGCCTGAGGTTTCGCGAGTACTTTTACACTTTGATTGATAGATATCAAATCTTTGAATTTTACTGCACGTTGCGAAGGGAGAACCTGAGGTTTCGCGAGTACTTTTACACTTTGATTGATAGATATCAAATCTTTGAATTTTACTGCACGTTGCGAAGGGAGAGCCTGAGGTTTCGCGAGTACTTTATACTTTGATTGATAGATATGAAATCTTTGAATTTTAAGGGACGTTGCGAAGGGAGACCCTGAGGTTTCGCGAGTTTGGAGTGTTCGTTTAACAAATGAAACATTTCTTAACGAACAACGAACAGTGAATCGTTAATAAATCGTCTAATTCTTGTATGTTATGTATAATACTTACTTTGGCTGATAGATTTGAAATCTTCGAATTTTACGGGACGAAATCTTTGAATTTCGCGAAGGGAGAGCCTGAGGTTTCGCGAGGTTGGAGTGTTCGTTTAACAAATGAAACATTTCTTAACGAACAACGAACAGTGAGTCGTTAATAAATAATTCTGCATCGTCTAATTCTTTCATGTTATGTACCTACTTTGGTTGATAGATTTGAATTTTTTATTTTTGAATTTTACGGAATTTTGGATGTTACGAAGGGAGAGTCCAAGATTTTGCGAGAATAGTGTGTTCGTTAATTGCGTTAATTATAATAAATGAAAGAATGTCTTTGATATATAATTATAACAGAAAGGAACGAGAACAACGAATCATCTGATTTATTTACGTTATACACTGGCTAGTAAATTTGAAAGGTCTACAGGGTGTTATAAGAAAAGAGTTTGTAAGATTGTCTGTAGTGTACAGTTACATTCGTTAATTGTATAAGAAAACAGAAAATCAAAACTTAGTCAACATATCTTTAATCAACGTATTTGTTCGAAGCACATATCGCATTTCTGAAGCTTAAATTTAATCGATAAGTTAAAACGATATTTAAATTTAAACGAATGGAAAACATACGTCGTGCAATATCAGGAAAAAAAACTTCATCGATTCATAATCTACCGATGTCAATCTTCTGTTAAAGTCAAATGAAAGGATGATCGTACATCCTGTACAAATATGAAAGAAAAAAATCTCTGTGTTTTTCACTGATAGGATTATTGTATATCTTTTACAAATATGAAAATAAATTTTTGTATTTTTTTTTTTT